CGGGCAAACTTTCCAGGGACGCATGTCCGACCTCCGGATGCGGACGACCTGAGTCACATAACTCAACAGCCGGGAGAGTCATCCCGAAAGCTTTGGAATAGGTTTCTTACTAAAAAGAACCAGATTGTCGACTGTCTGGACGCCGAAGCCTTAGCGTCTTTCAAGCACAGCGTCCGCAATGAATGGCTCGCCAGACACCTCGGCCAAAACAAGCCGAGAACGATGGCCGCATTAACAAACCTCGTGACTCGTTTTTGCGCGGGTGAGGACAGCTGGCTAGCCAGATGCAGCACCAGCGACCCCAGTACATCTGAAGTTAGAGATGGAAATGGGAAATCACAGCGCAACAGCAATAACAAACGCCGGAATAAAGAAGACAGCATGAAGGGCACGGCAGTAAACGCCGGATTCAAAGTCCCTCGGTCAAACCAAAAGCCGCCCTCCAAAGGCACCAGGGATGAACTGTTCAGCCTCAACAAAATCCTGGACCAAGTATGTCAGATCCATAGTACCCCTAGCAAACCTGCTAATCATACCCACAGAGAATGTTGGGTCTTCAAGCAGTCCGGCAAGCTTAACGCCATATACACAAGGGGGAGGATACACCAAGTGAAGACAAGGATGACCCTCCCAAGCAAGACAAGGGGGGACAAAAGAAATTTCCACCCGAAGTCAAAACAGTAAACGTGTTACACGTGATCAAGAGAAAAAACAATGCGGCACTCCCTAAAAAATATACCCAAGTGCCTGTCACCGCGAAGTCCCGCCACTGGTCGTCCCAACCGATCACCTTCGACCATCGCGATTACGCATCAAGTACCTGGCATGCAGGATGGGCTGCCCTGGTATTAGACCCAGTAATGGGCGGACACCACTTCACACGAGTCTTGATGGATGGCGGCAGTAGCCTAAACCTAATATATCAAGATACAATCCGTGGGATGGGGTTAGACCCAACACAAATTCGCCATAGCAATACTACCTTTAAAGGAGTAACGCCAGGCCCAGGGGCTCGTTGTATGGGCTCCCTCCTACTACAAGTTATATTCGGCTCCCCTGATAACTTCCGTCGCGAGCATTTAACTTTCCACGTCGCTCCGTTTAAAAGTGGCTATCAAGCACTACTCGGACGTGAAGCTTTCGCTCGCT